GCTGCTCCAACTGCCAACAGCAAAATCCACCAGCAGCAGATCGGCCGAGGACGACGCACATCGTGGGTAAATCTGCTTTTTGTAAAAGGGAGGGATTCCCTCCTGGGGAGCTCAGTTCAGTTAAAACCCGCTAACGCCAGCGCAGAAGTTTAGCCTGTGTGGCCAGCAGCTGGTGACCAACAAGCCCCCGCAACCCAGTGCCGGAAGCCCTCGACCTTGCCACAATTTCTGCCAGAAACAAGTCATGGCTCTGAAACCTGCCAAGCCACTGACAGGCAGAAAACCTGCAGCGTCTGTCTCAACACATTAGCCAGAGCGTCCTCCGGGCCGGCGGCACGCTAGAGGCACCTTCAGCCGTCACCCCTCTGGGCTGCAGCATCCGTCCCCTCGTCCTACCCATTGCTGCAGAGGGAAGTGGTTCAGAGTCCGCACAAACACATTGCTGCGATCTATATTCCTTTATTAAAGATTTAATAACCTCCTCAGACCTGTCGACTTATTTGTGAGGAGTGGGATGGGTGGATGAGTGGGTGGGTGGATGAGTGGGTGGGTGGATGGATTCTTGGCATCTTGGCATTGGCCAAACAGGCAGCAGCACTAACGAAGCTGGATTCCTGGCACTCTCTCCCATCTAACAGGGATGAACGCAAACCAGCTTTCCCCTTGCAGGAGCAGTGTCTCTTCTCAGACATGTCCCTGCATGAGCCCCATACCTTGGAGGCCACAACACCCTCACCCCTACACAACCCACTGCGGCCAGCTGAGCATTTAGGCCCTTCATCTCGCCTCGACACGATGCTCCAGCTTCCCGCTGGTCACAGAAAGGCTTTTGCCGATGGCTGCAGCCTGGCAGCGCGCAGCGTCCTGGGAGAGGGCAGCGTGTCGCCGGCCAGGAAAGCACTCCTCGCACGCTGGTGCCGCTCAGGGGAAGGGTCACATCCTTGGAAGAGCTCCTCTGAGCCTTTTTTGGAGACCCCGCAGTGTACACGGAGGGCCAGACACGCTCCCATGGCAAAGAGCTCCATCCCGCAGCGTCTCCTTTCCCGAACTGGAGGTCGATGGAGGAAACGAGCGGAGCTGGTGCCCATCACCTCCATGTCAGCATCTGGCCGCAGGGAAGCAGCGGCTCCCACCCGGCCTGGGTTTCCTTAGAGGCGAGCAGCAGCCACCGCAGCTCCACTCCACTTGTGTCTGAAGCAAAAGCTACCTACCACCTTGTGCAGCTGGAAATCTCCCGACCAGCCTTCACCCCCTCGGACACGGGTACCTGGTGACAGAGCAGCGCGGAGGCCCAGCGGGGTTCAGGCTTGGGACTGCTCTCACACGTGGTTTGGTCTTTTTTTTGTAGCTGGCAAACCCCCTCATACACCCAGTTCAGCTATTCTCAGGCTTAGCAGGTCTATAAAGACTCCGGTGGTTTTCCCAACAGACAGCTTAGTAAGGAGGCTTAGTCTAGCTTTATTTTTAACTCTCACCATAGGTCACCCCAAGGGGATCTCCAGCGGGTGCAGCCTGGGGTCTGTGGGCCAGCAAGGAATCTGCTGCTCCAGAGAGACGCTGACATTTAAAATGCAAGCGGGCAACTTTCCAGCGGCATCGTTTCTGCGATGCCCAAGCAGCCCCGTCTGCCGACCCACAGATCCCACCGCAGCATTGCGGGGGAAGAAGTTAACGGGGTGAATGCTCGCTGGCACTTAAACCGCCACTGCAGTCGAAGGGGAAGACGGCACAGAAAAGGCAGCTCTGCGTGGCAAGAGTAGTATTTCTTGCTTGCAAAAGCACAAAAGATTCGACATCGGAACAAGGCACTGGCAGATAAGAAAAAGGCAACCTCAGAGGAAGGCATCCACACCTCGACATGGAAAGCCACCGAGGCAAACAGCAGAGCCGCCTTCTAGCCAGGCATGTTCCCGTGAGAGCAGAGCTGTCGCCCGCGGGGACGCCGAGGATGCTACGGCACGGGCCTCACCCACCAGGACACGAAGGGGACTCTGTCAGCACCAGGAAGGTTATCTTTGGGGGGCTGAAATACACAGGAATAAGGTCTCAACGAGCACAAGCGGGACTGTGCTTCTGCACCTCCCCATAAACATGTGGGGTTTTTAACCAAACATCCTACTTTGGAAGTCACAACGTGCCTGCATTTGGGGGGAAGAGGCTGTTCCTACAGAAGAGCTGATAATGTAGATCCCAAAAAGCAAAATCAGCCGCTGCTGCCGGTTGCGATGACCGCCTGCACGTGCCCCTCTGCCCCGACCTCGCTCTGCCCAGCAGGCCACCGGTCTGCGCTGCTGAACATCTCCTTCCAGCACGGCTTTCGGGAAGCAGACTCATTTCTGGGAGATTTCAACAAGTTCACCCTGCCTTCTAAAAGCAGCTTCCACCACGTGCTCCTCCAGGCAACACAGGACTTCAGCCGTGACCTCAGCGGAGGGAAACCGTCGGTGAGAGGACCAGAAGGAAAAGCACCAGGCTTTAAAATACTGCGGCGGGGGGAGATACCGAACGCTACGCTCCTCTTCCAGCGCTGCCATCTGGTTCTTCAGCACAGGATCTCTGCCGAGAATGGCGTGACACAAGGACATTTGTTTTTCAAATGACTTTTCTAATCACCGTTTAGCAGGATACAAATATTTACAGTAAAGCAGAGAGAAGCAGGTTGCTACCCTGGAAAAGATTCTCGAGAAGAAAAGAGGTGATGAGAGGGAAATCCTTCTCTATCCAGCATGCAGGGAGATAGTGCCAGCTCCATCCTCAAAGTGGCTTTGGGTCAGCGAGCTGAGCTGGAGGTTGGGGATGATGACAGATCCGTCCTCAGGCTCAATATTGCTTTTCCCCGTGGCAGGCGATGGCTCACAAGCAACACGGAGGAGCCAGCCTCGCTGCACCCCCAGCACCTCCTGCAAGGCGCACACCCCCACCGTACCTCCCCGAGCGAGAAGGATCTAGGGCTAAAAGCATGAAGCTGGGGAGAAGAGCTGCTCACCCGGACCGGAGGGCATACGAGTGAACACCAGCACGACGGTGAACCTCCGCTGGGTTGAGCGGAGCCCGCAGACACTGGCGGAGGCAGGACAGCACGCCGGCTGCTCTCACCGTTGATTAAGGGGAACGGAGTGCTTCCCTGTGCTCGCGCCGCAGAGGACCTGCCTGGTGCTCGGCCTGGCTTATTGCTTTTATTTTGTGCTCAAGACCTGCTCTGCCATAAACCCTTAATTCATTTTTATCAGGGTCTCTGATGGGGAGAGGAAAGAATGAACCCATAGCGCTGACTTCTCTGGGCTCAGAGGTGGGTTTTAAATATAGCCCACTGATCTTTTTAAGCGTTCCCTTTGGTTGGTTCCTTCCCAGCCCCTCACTAAAAAGTTTCTGTCCTTTCTTGCCTTGAAACACCCTAGCTCTGTCTTGGCCAACCACACCCTCCTTTCAGCATCCCTGCCTTTAAAAGCAAAACAAATTACAGATCCTCTGCCTCTTTTTTAAAAGCTCACAGCTTTGAGGCAAGAATGAAGTCGTTTACGAACCGCTCATCGCTTCCACACTCTCAGAGATGCTCTTCA